GGGGCATGGTTCCCAGCTCTGTCTTGTCAGTTTCCTGTGTTTCTGACTTTCAGTTCTTCATACTTATTTAAGCAACTATTTGTATTAACTAAAAGGAGTGGCCTTTTTTTTAAGCTACTTTAAAACACCAGAAATAGTTTTATATGAACATTAAAGAAGCTCATGTCATGGCACCAGAAGTGCTTGTATAGCCTCCTGTGCAGATAAGCAAAAAGAAGTGTATACACATTCTGAGTTGCTTTAGCATGTCATAAACTTGAAACACGTTGTCATACGCTGAATTAGTCACACTTCCTCACTGCGGCTTCAGTAAACCAAGTAGCTTCCAAACCTGGACACGGTTTAACTCCAGAAACATAACTGGGTTTGTGACCTGACTCCCACAGATCAGTTCCTCGTCTCTCTGGAAGGAACAGATGTTGAAGTATAGGCCACTGTGGAATTTGTCAGCTCCTCAGCCTCCACTAATAAATACAACAGACAGGTGTTCCGAGTCAGAAAACACAAGCCTCTATCCTTTGCTTTCTTATTTTCTGATGGTACAACACTGTATGCCAGTACAGGTCAGAATGTGTTAATGTTGAACCCTCCTCCAGAGTTTATTTTAGGATATTTCACTTAAGGGTCAGTTAAATATGAAACAATTAGAATCTGAGGGATTATGCACTGAAACAGGAAAATACAAGGAGGAAGGAGACTATAGATTACTAGGGAAATACGAGCTTGGCACCAACTTCCTGTGTGGTCTTATCTTTAGGTTTTCCCCAAGGGGGGCTGTCTCACCTGACTCCCCAAAATAAGCTGCTTTGGAACCCATAAGTATTCTCATTGGTGGTTCCCTGGGGTGAATTTTGGGGGATGAATTAACCAGTGCTGTCATGTGGCTGGATTTGCCTTGTGAATTCTCTTTCTCCTGCAAGCTAAGCCACGTGTTCTTGCCTACTTCCCAGAACCTGTTGGTTGGGGTTCTGGTTTGGCTGGAACCTCAGAACGTCGCCTCGGTCACTACGCCCTAGCCTGTTACGTGGCACACTTTCCTTTTCAAAATGACCAGTTGCCCCGAACAACACTGTAGGGTAGCCAAGGTCTTTAATAGAAGCGAAACGAGGGCGACGCCTCCCCACCCGCCACCCGGGAGCTAGGCTCGGCGAGGATAGGTCGAAGTCCTCAGTCGCAGGCACACCCGTCCGCCGCCGCCGCCGACTGCTCCTAGCGCGGGAAGTTCTTGGGGTACAGCTGGAAGAGCTTGCCTTCCTGCGTGGGCTCAAAGCCGTACTTGTCCAGGCGCTCAGGGTCGAAAGTCCCGGCCTTGAAGTCCTTCTCGATAGCAGGTGCCGCCGTCTCCAGAAAGAGCTGCTTGGCCGTCAGGGGAGCGTCTGTGCCCTCCGGGGCGCGGTAGTTCACGTACGGCTTGAGCTTGAAGCCGGCCAGATCGGGGACCACCAGCTCCGGGACCATTTCCTTGACCTGCACGAACTTGCCGTCGCGGCCCCGAAAGCCGATGCCCTTGGCGCCGCGGCTCTTGTAGAAGGTGCGCGGGCCCCGCTTGCTGGTCCACTTGCTCATTCGGTCGGCGCCCCGCACCAGGGCGCGAGCCGCCCCGCTCAGGAGGCCCATGCCGGGGCCCAAACGACAAGAACGCTCTCCGACTCCCGCGCACAGCCACGCGGCCCCCGGCACCGCAGCGCTCCGCTTCCGGCGCCCACTGCAGCTTCCAACACCCCCTGGCCACCGCGCCAGAGCAAGAGCAGCTCCGATTGGCTGCGACGCGTCCAATGTGCAGCCTTGGCCCTGCGGGGGGGCGGGACCTGTGGGGCCCTGGCCAATGCTCGGGGAGAGCCCGCGTCCGGGCGCGGCGTAAGGAGCGCTGCCGTGGGGGGCGGAGCTTCGAGGCGCAGGGCCGGACGCCGTGAGGGCGGACGTTAGGGGCGGGGCTTCGGGAGGAGTGACGGGAGTGCCGGGTGTCGGGGGCGGGGCGTCAGGGTAGCGCGGGCGTCGGGAGCGCGCGATCCTGGTGAGTCGTCGCCGAGCGCCCCGAAGTGGCAGGCCTGGGGGTCCGGTTCTGTGAGCAGAGGTAGCCATCCCCTCCCCCATGCATCGCCGGGACGTACACTGCCCCACAGGGCTGTCGCCGGCGACGCACCTCAACCCAACTGGCCCCAACCGCTACGGCCCCCAACCGGACGCCTCCCAACCCTACTGCCCCCAACCCCGACTGACCTCAACCCAACGCCCCTGCAGCTGAACGCCCCCCAACCTGACTGCCCTCAATCCGACGGCCCCATAATCACTGCTCTCCGCCCTGCGCCCTAACCTCCACGCCCCCCTAACCACCATCTTCCTAACCTCGATGCCCCCAACTGCGCCGGCCCCGGCCCCCCAGTTCTCCTGCGCTCTGTCTCCTTCCCTCCCGTCCCCTGCGCTGTGGAGCACGTGCAGCAGCTGAAGGCGGTTTGGTTGTGTGGCAGGTGCTGGGGGCTTGAGCTCTGTCGCCTGTAAGCCTGGGAGGCGTGGGGAGACCGCCCTGGTCAGGGCTGGGCCACAGAGCTGGGGTCAAGGCGCTGCTGGTCCTTGAGGAGACATCTGAGAAGAAAGGGTTTCCCACGGGCCGGCAGGGACCTTTGACCAGTGAGCAGATGCAGGTGACCCTGCACCTACCTTCTGCTCCCTGACTTCTCCCGGTGGGATTTCGGAAGAGACAACCCTCTCTTACTGTTGCCCTTCCAAGGGACCTGGGAACCACAGGGTGAAGGCCCTAGACGGGGCTCCTCCCTGCGGCACAGAGGCAAGGTGAGCAGAGCTGGTCCTCAAGTTCACCACACCCCAGACCAACACACCCACCTCCAGGGCTCAGCCACACTGCGGGGGAAATCCTGTGCCCAGGCCACTAGGGAGGGTCTGGCTCACAGCCTGTAGTGGCCACACACCCCTCCCCGGGGTGCTGGAAATCCCTGCTGCACTAGGCCTTTGCCCAGCTGCCCACACTTGCCCTTGACTGACTGGGAGAGGCGCCCGGGACTTGGCTGCAGTTCTAGGTTCCCGGGCAGCCACACGAGAGCTATTTACAGAGAGGGAAGGGGCTCCGATTGCTTGTGAAAAGAGCTTCTCTCCATGGAGAACACAGTTTTTCATCAGGGTTTTCCTGTCAATAGAAACGTAATTTAACGTGGACAGGAACCTGGGGAAGGGCTGGGAGGCACTGCTTTGCACGTGAGCATGAGGTGGTGGAACGTGTGCTCTCCTTGGAACCAGTCTCTCTTCTTTTGTTTCACTTTTAGCCATGGAGCAAGAGAGGCACGCCGGCCCAGAGGTGCAGAACCTGAGGATTCCAGTGAGGAATCAGCCTTAAAATTCCCAGTTATGGCCACTTCTGGACAAGGAGAAAGGGTCCTTTTAACATCTGCCCCGCAGCAACTCCTTGAAGCCTGCTGCATGTGGGGGTGGTGTGTGGCGCCTGTGTTCCCCTTGTCAGGGCTGAGGCCCTCCCTCCTCTTCCCCAAGGTCACTCTTGTGAGTTCCTGCTTCCCCTTAGGAAGTCTGCTTGCTTTGTCTTAGGGCCTTTTACCCGTGGAACATATATAGCCACATTACAAGGGCCTTTATCTCTAAACCAGAAATTTAGATGCATTAAAACAACCGTGAAAAGCTGGAAAGTCTGAGATGCCTAACCACCAGAGACTGTATAAATAGGCCTGGGGCATCCCCGTGACCCTTCCTGTGGACAGCCCTGGCTGCCCCCCAGGGGGTGGCTGAGGTTGGAGAGACACACTTAGGAGGAGGGTGCTCGTCTGCTGCCTGGTGGATGTGGTCTTGAGCCAAGCACGCAGTCTGGGCCAGGAGGGCCTGGACGCCTCACTGTGAAGCAGAAGCTCCCACTGCTTCCATCTGCCTCCTGAGCTGAGTTCAAAGGGTTGAGTTTTCTGAATCACTTCCTTATTCTGTCTTGATGCAACATTCTGCTTTTGAAAGGCTTTTCTGAGTGCATTGATTTCCTTGGGTTTTCTGGCATCGATGCTGTGTGTGATCCTGGCTCTGAAGGATCAGGCAAGCTGCTTTAGTCCTTGGCACTTGTGTAGAAACTTGAAAGGATTAACAAGTCCCCCCACCACTCCCCCAAACCCATCCTGTTCCTGGCTGCTTGGAAGGAGGTATGTGGGTACCAGGAGGAATGGAGTGTATCTACTTGTTTGGCTGGTTTCTTCAGCTTTGGGGGAATCTGCCAGCATCCTGTGTATGGGCGGTCCCAGCCGTCTGCCCACTCACCATTCCACACTCACTGTTCTCTCTGTTTTAAAATTAATTAATTTATTTTTGGCTGCGTTGGGTCCTCATTGCTGTGCCCGGGCTTTCTCTAGTTGCGGTGAGCAGGGGCTACTCTTCGTTGCGGTGCGCGGGATTCTCATTGTGGTGGTTTCTCTTGTTTCAGAGCACGGGCTCTAGGCGTGCGGGCTTCAGTAGTTGTGGCACGTGGGCTCAGTAGTTGTGACTCGCAGGCTTCAGTAGTTGTGGCACATGGGCTTAGTAGTTGTGGCTCACGGGCTCTAGAGCGCAGGCTCAGTAGCTGTGGTGCACGGGCTTAGTCGCTCCGCAGCATGTAGGATCTTCCTGGACCAGGGCTCAAACCCATGTCCCCTGCACTGGCAGGCGGATTCTTAACCACTGCACCACCAGGGAAGTCCCTCACTGTTCTCTCTTACCTTCCTTTCTCTCTCCCTGGGGTCTGGGCTTCTGAAGCCCCTTGTTAACTCCCTCCCTGGGAGCCCTTCTCTGCTGTGAGCTGGTATTTAATGTTCTCAAAATCCAGTTGGCTCCTTAGGGTTTCCCAGCACTGCTGCTGTGTGGGCTTCTGTCTGCCCCGAGGCCAGCAGCACCCACGTGCTGTTGGTGATGAGAGGGCACTGAGAGGTGGCCTTTGTACCCACTGTGGCCAGCTGGGCTCCTCTGGGCTTGCATCCTGAGGAGAAGGAAAGCTGAGGATTTAGGATTCAGATGCGTTAATGATGCCTGGAGCATTTGTTGTCAACACGGCACAGCTGCTGGCCCTGCCCAGCCGTGCTGTGGGTGGCCCTGCTCCAGAGCAAGTGGGCTCAGGGGACCTCAGCATCCTGGAAGGTCGCTTCTTTCTGGAGGTCTCCAGGGCTGCTGACTTGTCCCTGACCCACAGCTCTGTTGTCACTCCCTGGGGAGCCAGGGCCATGCCCATCCTGGCCCTTCCCGACTGCAGCCTTCCCCCCTAGGCGTGCTTCTACCTGGCCACCCTTCGGTCCTGGGGTCTGCAGCTGAAGGGGCAGCGTTCCCAGTCCACCAGGTGACCACCTCACTGCCCCCGGCTAATGGGCGGGCCCCAGAATCAGTGGCCTATTGCACCCTTGGCTGCCCTGGGTCCTTTGTGTCCAGCCTGTGTCTGGGCTTGGGAGGCGCCTCATGGCGCCTTGCTGACAGGTGCTCTGTCTGTGACCTCGCCCAGCTGGTGGGTGTTGCAACTGAAATCCTCCTGGCCCTGGCCCTGGACCTTATTGTCATGACCATCTTTTTTTTTTTTTTTTTTTTTGCGGTACGCGGGCCTCTCACTGTTGTGGCCTCTCCCGTTGCGGAGCACAGGCTCCCGACGCGCAGGCTCAGCGGCCATGGCTCACGGGCCCAGCCGCTCCGCGGCATGTGGGATCTTCCCGGACCGGGGCACGAACCCACGTCCCCTGCATCGGCAGTCGGACTCTCAACCACTGTGCCACCAGGGAAGCCCGATGACCATTTTTTGTATATAGAAGGGTTAACTGATTGCGTGAGTATCTTGCTTCAGACTTTAGCCCTAGGGGGATGAGGAGGAGGGCTTGAAAGGGTGGGGGAGGCTCGGGTGTTTTGAGCTCCTGGGAGCAGCTCTCAAGCCCGCGGTGGCTTTTGTTGGAAACTGCTGGCCTGTCCACGAGGCTGAGCTCGTCAGATCCATGCAATTCGAGTCTGTTCTGAACTTCCTTGGCTCACGTTTCCAAGAAGAGTGAAGTCCCGCTTCCTTTGCAAGGGTCTGTCGCAGCCCTGGGAGAGGTGCTGTGTGACTGGGGGCGGGGCAGGGGGCGGGGCCGAGCAGGGGCAGGACAGCTCAGTGTGTACACGTGGCCGCCTCTCGGGTCCCAGCCTTGCTCAGGCAGCCCCTTGGCTCCCCTTGCAGGACAAGGGCAGCCACTCCTCAGTACAGGTTCCGGAAGAGAGACAAAGCGATGCTCTATGGCAGGAATATCATGAGGAAGGTAGCTCGCGCTGCAGGCCCAGGCCTCCTCCCCCTCAGAGGTGCCAGCACCACCGGCCTGTGCCTGGGGGCCGTGCAGCGGCTCTGGGGCTCGGGGAGGGTCTGGGGAGGGCATGGCTGGGTGGAAGCATTTGGGGAGGAGGCCCTGTCACCCCGTGAGGTGGACATGAACTGGAAGGGAGGACAGAAGCCCCTCCCTGGAGCATCCCTGGCGTGTGGCGGGCGGAGGGTCCTGGCTCCGGTGCTGAGATTTCTGGTCCAACCAGGATTTGGGGGCCAGGCTCCGCGAGGGGGAAACTGCAAGGCCTCGCTTGCCAGTGTCAAGACCCACCTTGGGGAAGAGCAGCTGCGTCCAGCCTTTGCTGGCCGGGCCCCTGCGCCCTTCTCTCCCTGAGGGCAGGAGATCTCAGCAGACTGCCTGAGGCTGCCTGTGCTTCAAGTGCACGCTTGAAGCGTTTGCTGATATTTAAAAATATCTTCTCTTTGTTACTTTCCTCGAGTTACACAATCGATTCGTGTTCTTCGTGGGTAAGCTTGAGCTGTCGATGGGGAATCACGTGGGTGTCCTCACGTGGCTCTTCCTCCTCAGTGTCAGGCACTGTGGGAGGCTGGTCGGTTGGGGCTGCTCTGTATGGCGGGAGGGCGGGCGCGCAGGGACAGTGGGCGGGCCCCCGCAGGCTCGTGCAGGGCCACGTGGAGTGAGTCCCGGCAGGTCTCAAAGACACTCAGGCGTGTGTGTTGGGTGGGGGGGCTGTCCACTGGTGACCCTGCCGAGGACTGGGCAGCGGCAAGCTGGACCTGGGCTAAGGACAGGAACGTGGTCCAGTGAGGCCAGGACACCTGGGAGGGAAGGAGGGGTTGTGGTGACCGCCCACCGACAGCCACAGCTGGCACTGTGGGGCAGATGCAGCTCGGGAGCTAGGGGACAGCAGGGGGCAGTGGCTGCCCGAGGAGGCTGGCCGGTGCCCAGCTAGGAGCCGGGCCCTCCGCGCTCCCCGGCACCGCTGTTTGGGGCAGTCCGGTGGGCCTTGACTGTTGGGGGAGGGTGAAGAGCCTTCCAGACTGGGAGGACTGTGCAGGCACTCGGGTTGTTGTGTGTGCCAGCATGACAGGGGTGGGGTGGAGAGCGTCAGCCTTCTAGGCAGAGGAGACGCAGGGCTGAGGACTCAGAGCTCTCAGAGCATGGGCTGTCTGGGGACATGGCCACGCGGTATCGCTGTCATCAGCACCAAGGAGGGTTCCCTGTGTCCTGGGCAGGTGAGCAGGGTGGGGCCGGGCCGGGATGCTGGTGTCAGGCTGCAGGCAGGCCAGGTCCTGAGGGCTGGGACCGACCCTGAGGCTGAGAACTGGATCCACCGGCTGCAGGGTCCAGACGTGGCCTCCCCCTTTCACTCTGCATGTGACCACGCTCCCCCATGCACTTGTGGGGAACACAGCTGCCCCCCGGCAGCGGGTGAGGAAGAGGACCAAGGTGCTGTCTTTGGCCAAGAGGTACTGGGGGTGCCCTTCAGAGTAGTCACGTCTCAGCTGCCCTCCCCAGTGGGCGCTGGGGAGGCCGTGGATGTTGCGCCGCCCGTGGCTTCCCTGCCATGGAGTTCACAGCGCAGACACCATCTGCGTTTGAACCCCTTTGGGCTTCTGCTCCAGGTGCATGTCTCTCTGCTTTGTAGCATCCTGCGTTTCAAGAAGGAATACCCCAGCCTGCAGCCAAAGGAGCCCCCGCCCTCCCTGCTGGAGGCTGACCTCACGGAGTTCGATGTGAAGAATTCTCACCTGCCGTCAGAAGTTTTGTACATGCTGGAAAATGTTCGGTAAGAGAGAAGTGGACACGGGGAGACCCTCCATGTGCCTGTGGCTGCGCCCTGAGAACTGGCTGTCACCTGGCCTCCGAGGTGTCCTATCCCTGTGGCCACCGTTGGTTGTGTCAACAAAAATAATGAATAAACAACCTATAATAGGAATAAAAAGAGTTTTATTTGAGACAAACTGAGGACTATAGCCTGGAAGACAACCTCTCAGATAACTCTGAGGAACTTCCCCAGAGAAGCATAGTTTTTAGCAGTTTTATGTCTTGTCAGAACAAAGAACATTAAGCTAGTCAGGGATACATTCCTTCAAGGTTTCAAAAAAAAACAGATCAGCAGGTACATGGTGAGTCAGTATGGCCTCGGCACCTGGGAAGGGAGTCTTATCATTGAAGGAGAATGAGCACTGGCACCCTAGAAAGGGAGGCATTTAATCTTTATTTTTTATGTGGACGTTTTGTTGTTCTTGTTCTTGTTTAATATTTATTTATTTAATTTATTTATTTTTGGCTGCATTGGGTCTTTGTTGCTGCACGCGGGCTTTCTCTAGTTGCGGTGAGCAGGGGCTACTCTTCATTGCAGTGCGCGGGCTTCTCATTGCAGTGGCTTGTCTTGTTGCAGAGCACAGACTCTAGCGCACGGGCTTCAGTAGTTGTGGCACACAGGCTCAGTAGTTGTGGCGCACGGGCTTAGTTGCTCCGAGGCATGTGGGATCTTCCTGGACCAGGGCTCGAACCCGAGTCTCCTGCATTGGCAGGTGGATTCTTAACCACTGTGCCAC